ATATTATAATAAATACGTTATACTATAATTACTAATTAATATTATATAATAATATATTACATAATATTATTAATATATGTTATTAAAATATTATATATATGTTATTAAAATATTAATATATGTTATTATATAATATTATTAATATATGTTAGTATAATATAATATGATAAATACGTTATACTATAATTACTATTATATAATATTATTAATATATGTTATTAAATTATGTTATTAAAATATTAATATATGTTACTAAAATATTAAATAATATTATAATAAATACGTTATACTATAATTACTAATTAATATTATATAATAATATATTACATAATATTATTAATATATGTTATTATAATATTATATAATATTATAATAAATACGTTATACTATAATTACTATTATATAATATTATTAATATATGTTATTAAATTATATCATTAAAATATTAATATATGTTATATTTTATATATCATGTCATATATTTATAATATAATTGCATGTATTAGTTAAATAATACAAAAATATTTTAAAATTATCCCAATTGCCTTCAAAGTGGAATAATATTGTTCCAATATGAAGGATGGGGTAAATTTTTACTATTGGGACAAAATTTTTGTATATGAGTGGAGTAATTTTATCTTAAGTGGTGTAATTGTCTCACTAGTAGTGTTCCAAAAAACCAATAACACAAAAATGTATTATCCTTGTTCCATTGTGCCAATGAATAACACTATGAAATGGGATCCTCAAAATTATCCCATTATCCCCCAAAATATCCCAACCAATAACCCCCCCCCCCCCCCTTTTTTATTTACTCTATTGTCACTAGGTATGAAGTACACGACATGTATATTTTTCTTCTGGATAAATGTCATAAAATCCTCCTTAACTTTGGACGGTTATTAGAAAACCCCTCTTAACTTTTAAAATATAAGAAAACCTTGTTCTCATAAAATCTCAAAGTTAAAAAAAGTTTTTCTGATAAAATCTAAAAATTAAAAGAGAATTTTGTGATAATCCCAAAAGTTTTTTTGGTTTGGTAGTGGATGGGGTTCTGAATTTTTAAAGTTAAGGGGGGTTTCTGATAATGTCCTAACTTAAATGGGTTTTTCTAATATTTACCCTTTTCTTTTCAAAATTTTTAGGGTATCTCGAGGGTTTTTAATTTTAATTTGGTCGTGTAAGGGCATAGAGTTTTTTTAAGCAGAAATCTAATAGTGCATTAATAGTAGGGCTGTCCAAAAAGTCCGCCGGGCCAAAGCCAAGTCGGAACCCGCCCG